TATTTGTTCATGCTAAGTTTTTTCAGTTGTACAACAGTTGTTAATCTATTCGACAGTACTGGCATGAAATAACGAGCACACACACATACACACACTCACGCATACACGCATATGTAAAAACATATATTTAAAATTCAAAATATCTCAGTATAATATAATATTAGAGTAATAAAATAAATTATTCGTGGTCAATCTCTGTCACGTTCAATATAATTCTAACAATTTCATATTCACATTTTACTGACCATAAAAAATAACCGATTTTTACTGCCATGCCGGTTTTTTGCTGTTTTATTCCTCTCGCCCCGTTGATTTTGTGTTGTCTGATAACTGAAAAGGACATTTTGTAATGATGTCGTTTTTAACAATCCCATATTGTTATTTGTATGTTGTTTTTATTAAAGCTTAAATATAATAACAAAATGATTTTAAAATATTATACCTCATAACATAAACTGGATAATTCACACAGTATATAAATTATATCGAGACCATAATACCTTGTAATTAACTACACAACAGATATGTCAATAAAGTGCTAGAAATGAGGTCGGATTGCGGAAACCTCAGCAAAAACCACAAAATAGTCACAAGCGAATATAACCTTTATTTATATTGGAATAGAGGCGATACCTGTCACAGGTGTGCTATTTGTTGCTTCGTGTATAGAATATATAATAGGTATGAATTGGTACAAAATATAGTACATCGAGAACAAAGCTCAGGCTGAAACACGCACGAGATGTAGTAGAATGTTATAGTAGCTATTAGAGTAGAGAAACATGTTATAAAAATTATTGTTTTATAATTGAAGCAATCTTAATATTCAACTTTATATTATTAGAAAGTTTTCTTTCTTCTTTACATGATTTTTTCGTATATATAAAAGTTGGAAAAAGATATATTCAAAACATGAATTTTGATGTATGCAACACCGAAATGTTTTTTTATATAAAACTGCGGATTAGCTGGAATTTACCTAAATAAATTTTATTTTTATATCGTCCATGTTTTTCGTTTTTGTCGTTTTAGTATAGAAGATAATAAAAATAATAATATTAACACTTTTTTTCCTTATGCAATCCGATTTTACATATACTTACCGATACAAAGAGGAATGATATTTAACTATTTTTTTTTTTAACAATAGAGTATGTTAACATTAACAAAAGGGTTACAAAAACAATAGGTTTTTTTTTTAGTTTCATTCAATTGAAGTCATATATTTCATAGTAATTTTTATTTGGAATAACTATTGTTATTTAAAACAACAGTTTGGAGCTAAAATATCCCTTTCCATGTTCGTAGCCCAGGGTTAGACAAACGGGGGTATTAACTAGCTCCAATTTAAAGGGGTAATTGTAGGGTTATCGTGTATCCACACGTATCTAGATACGTTTCAGTTACGTAATATAACTATTACTTTAGAATTTGAATACGAAAACTAAAATTAGTTTTAGAAATGGTCTATAATGTTAATATTTCAGAAAATTTAACTTTATCCAAAACCAGAGTACAGAACCATAAGATTTTTGAAAGTTTCAAAGAAAATTGATTTTAATAACGAAATCATAATTGTATAAAATACAAGATAAAGTAAAAATTCAATATTGCATATTGGTAAGTTGTCATTTAAATATCTTATTACTGAAACAAATATCATTGTTTTAAATTGTCATCTGTGTTCATTTTGATAGTTTCATTTAACATCGCATATTTTGTTGTAACATGTAAATATCATAAAATAAATGGAACGGGTGGAATTGAAATATAATTAGAAGGATAAGAAGTTATGAATTTTAGGACAACCATTAAAGAAACACTACCATACGAACATTTTAATCGAGTTTCGTCGATATTTGACATGTCCCGACAGTTTATTTTAGTAAAATTAATGCCTATATTTAAAATATGTTCATTAATATATGTATAATACAAATCATTTTCATACATTTATGAGAACATAGATATTTCCACAAGTTAAGTAAACTATGAGTTACTTTATGTAAAAAATGTACTGAAGGATACTTATTGATACCAAGACTGTGTCATAAGCCTATCAGAGCCCACTGCTGAGCAAAGGCCTCTTCCTCACATGGAGATGGTTTGAGCTTTAATCACCACGCTTGCTCAAGACGGGTTGGTGATAACAAACTTATAATTGTGAAATTATAAGTCCAGGTTTCCTCACGATGTTTTCCTTCACCGTTTTTTAGTGGTGTCTAAATACTCTTAGAAAGTACATATGACTCGGAAAAATCACATTGGTACTTGCCAGGATCGAACCGGCGCCCGAGGCGGGCCCTTTAACCACTAGGCCACCACTGACTTTTGTAGTACCAAAACTGTATTTATTTAATTATATTTTATCTATTAGTACATTTATTTTCAATATTAAATCATAGGTAATTCTATAACGTCGATATATATTTGTAATAATTAATAGCATCATAAGTAATGGTGTCGTAATATAATTCTATTAGCACCAGCACTAATGACTAAGCGGCTGCCATTACAGAGCTTTGTACATCTAATGAAATTGTTTACCTGTATACATTGCATACATGACATTAAACAAAGGATTTATATATATCTCGACTGACACAGATTTAACTTATTAACAAGCTTAGGAATTCAGATTTCGTTGGATAAGTTGAGATCATTTAAATTTAAACATTCAAACGTTCATATACTTAAAGAATAATATTTTAAATAAACGGCTGTCGAAAGATAATGCTAACTTAAATATGCATAAAAAATAGTATTTCAGGTTTTTGATTTCGAATACGATAGAAACGACGAACCTTACATGTACTTTCTGTCACCTTTGGTAATCAAAGTTGAATTTCCGCAATTATATTCTAATTCTATTAAAAACAAAGACTTGAGTATTAACGATCAGGTAAGCAATGTTAGGCAATAATTAATTAAAACCAATGTATTGTCTGTTTCGAAGTATTGGAAAAATTATATCACAACTGCTTACCAAATAAATCATAATTTTAAGTAAAAGGTACATTTATATAAATGTATTGCTCTATTTAGACTCCATTTTAAAACACAAGAAAGTATTGAGGATTTACTCACTATAAGTGCTAATAAAAAGTTTCTACATATGACGGAATTTCCAGCATAATAAAACTTATCTTTGTAAAGTAACCGAAAGGTCGGAAATATTTAGTTAAAAAATTCAAAATCGCGTAGGAAATCGGAAAACAATAGTTTTATTTCAATGAATACTCGCGGAAGTCTTAGATCTCATTATTAGAATTTCAAGTTTACTGTGATATCCCTCGCAGATAGAACCTAAAAGTATATTATCAATATTCTTCAACCAATTCAGTCGAAATTAAATATCAAAACTAACAGTGGCGGCGTAGGGCGTAGGCGACGTGGGCAATCGCCTACGGCCTCGCGGTATAAGGGGCCTCGCACCTCAAAAAATTTTAAAGCGAGAATAAAAAAAAAACTTGTTCTTCTTCTTCTTCTTCCTGTTAATTTCCCAGCTATAGCCAGGGTCTGTCTTACATGTTGTGAAAGTTTTGGCTAATTGTTTTTACGACCGGTCGCCTGCGTGACATCCTTTGGGAATCAGAATTAATTAAACCTATTTTAATAAGAATAGTGTGTTCAATGTTTTAATAATATTTAGCGAATAAATAGATAGTGTTTAAGTATATTGATTGACAACAGTGACGTTTTTTTATTGTTTTTGTTTTCTTTGTGATTTGTAATACACCGGTACCTGTACTCCTCTATTTTAACGTAATAGTAATAAGTATGTAACGCAGTAATTACTTGCATACAAAATACGCTTTATAATATCTTTTGAAGGAAATCAAAGCTTTAAGGGTAAAAAATGTATCTACGTTTAAGTTTTTAAAACTAGCAAGTAGTAAGAGCTTCAAGTTGCCATAGAATAGGGCCTCGCGAAATCTGTCTTGCCCACATCAAATTTAGGTCATGTCCCTCCACTGAAAACTACCAATAGCTACTGGCATGTATAGAAAATGTCCTTAATAATGGGTAACACGGTGCTAAATTACATCAACATTATATAAATAAGTGCGGAAAGCCATCAATAACGTCAGATGCACTAAGCCATGACGCGGGGTCACAACAACAATGCTTTCCAATTATGCCAACGTTACACACAAAATTGCAATACAGCGTGCGTCCATCACACGCCATCTAGTGTCGATTGTTCGAAGACCAGCATTAAATATAATCAAAGTGATCTATCGATAATTACAGCACAACACTAGTTGGATTTGTAATAAACAAAGCGTTTTAGATAAATATTGGCTTTATTTTTTTCGTAACTTCATAATTTGTTATATTTTGTTTATTGAGATCATAAACTAATCTCAGGCAATTCCCTATCTTTGTACAAAAAAAAAACACAGATTTAAATCGAAAAAAGAACTGTCTCCCGAAAACAGTTACCAAAAAACTCTTTATCTCTCTTTTTTGTGACTTTCATATTCATTTATGAATAGTTTTAAATATACCGCAAACAAACAAATAAAAATAGACATTCTTAAATTACAAGAAGAGCTAGAATAATATGAAGAGATATCATACTTTATGTATTTAAAATCATTAATATAATTAATTGGTACTTTGAAGTAAGTCGAAATTTAACGGCCATCTCTGTGACCGAAAAATTAGGAAAGTAGGCCAATTACACATCCAACTCGTACCCATAACGTTTTATTGATGATGTTTTTGTGTCGGATTCATAAAAGTTGTTTGAATTTTGCTTATGCCGTAATAAAACATTTTCTACTTATGATATTTATGTTTTATAATCTTTATCATGGAGTTTTTATGTTATGTTAGAATAACATAATTAGAAATTTTATTTTTCAGATGATATAAATAGATAATATTTTATATCATGATTTACTATTGACTAAGAGTCTTTTGATGAATGAAAGGCTTTACTTAATGCTATTTTCCTTGCTAGGCATAAAAGAATTGGTATTTCATCAATTTTTTTGTTTCAAAAACACCAGGTCGCGACAACGCGACTGCCGCTGCCGACATACTCACCGCGCGCCGTACTGATGTATAGCGCAGCGGTGGGAGGAGAAGGTGTCGCTCTACAACTCCGAGAGGCGACACCTTCAGAAATAGATGAACGGCTCGCCATAGCCTGTCACGAGCCTGAGCTACTGGCTGACCTGCTTCACGCTGCTGATATAGGTAAGAAAACAAATTGTAAACGCTTGATAAATGTTACGCTGGACTAACTTAATAAAGAGTGACTAGATTCAATGGACGCTATCATGAGTTGAAATATTGAAATGCTCACATAAATATATAAAAAAACATATCTTCTTACTACTCTGCACTGTATAACATGTAACAAAAACATTTCATTAAATAATAAATCATTAATTTAAGTAAATACTAAAACGTAACCAATCACATAGAAACCTTTACAAACCAAAGTAGAACACATCACAGGGGAAAAGTGCTGTCAGCGAAATTGGCATTCAGTCAGAGCCAACGTCAACTTGTTTTATTTGACTACGGCTGAAGAATGAGAAGTATTCTTGCTGGGAGCGTGTCGGGTGTTTTGAAATTCAAATATGAAATTTTGCATTCGAAACTGGCTCAGAGCGTTTGCCGGACAGCATTACCATTTACGGCCATTTGGGACGTACCATCATTTTTATTGTTAACTGCCTTTCCGTGTTCCATTGCGACCTTGTAAAGTATGTAGATCTAGTTCAATTTTTAACAATGAAATAAAAATCATAATGAATAAAATCGCTGGTAATAATATTCTTTGTTCTCTTAAATCAACTTGTAGTTTTTTTTAGTAGCATCTCGATATTCCTAATAAAATTCACGTTCAATTCAATTAATATATTTGTATGATTGTGAAAAATATATTCAAAAACAAACGTGCTATTTAAATACACTTCCATAATGAAGTAAGCCTGCGTTCCCAATATTATATAAAACGGCAATATAATAATAGACTAGTGTGGAAATCGGTAATGATTCCCACGGGAATATTGTTCAACAGAATGGGGATGTACACTGGCCATGTTTTAATATGAAAACGGAATTTCGCAGAATTACTTTAATATTATCGGAAATATTCTGCACATTTTTCAATATTGAAACAGGTTTTTATATTGAGTTTTATGTTAACACATGCCATTCGGAAACCTTTGTCGTGTTTATATTTGAGATACGTATTCAAAAATAGTCGGGATATTTACAATGATTTTATAATAATGAAAGTTCGTATCTGTGTGTATGTGTGTTTATGTGAAGCTGATTTTATGAAAACGATTTATATTAATTCCATATACTCTTACACGATCCAAAATTTATTATAAAATCTTTTAGTTCAAGTTATTTAGAGCAATCACTACCACACAGGTAAAAACTACTTACCTATAAAAACATACTCAAATTTGAAAATCATTAAGCACCCTCTGAGTAACTAATCCGAAACACTCTAATTACAAATGCAAATCCTCGTTTAAATTTCCAAGAACTAATGTTACATTAGTGTTTAATTGATAATTCAAATACATAATTAAATATTTTACCTGTCATACATATTTTGCTCCGTTAATGGTTCTAATTTACGGAATAAATCTGGAACATTCGGTTCAAAATAATAATTATGGCCTATGAAATTAATTGCATCATATATATTAGCGTGAAAAGTGCTTACGATAGTGGCCTAAACTAAAAGCTATACTAAAGCATATACGTATATTTTCATTTAATTCTTTTCCTGTATTAAAAAATATTTACAAAATTCTTCGTACAATCAATTTGATTATTTAAATGTTGCTCTGTTAATTTTATCACGATAGTCGTCATTAGAATTAACAAATATGCTCTGTAAATTAGGTAAGCTATGGTGTTGATTAAACAATACCTTTATCAAAATCACAACCATCATTATTCTTAAAATGCCAGAGGCATCAGCTTGTCAAAAATTCCCGCCGAGTCTCGCTTCGCTTAAAAATGCTAACTCATGCAAACGAGCTCCCAAGGCCTCTGATTGAATTAGATTCCTCAAGCAAACGATGAAATATTTCTTCCTATTATTGGACACAAATTGAAAAGATCCAACGGCTGTGCATTTCAATTGCGAAGTTGTTATTGGATTAAAAAATGAGAAACGCTAGTGGGGAAATTATTAAAGTTTCCAAAGCAATCTCCATGACAAGGGAGCTGATTTACTGACGCTTAAGTTTGAAAAATCGATATTTTTGGTTATCATTATATTTGCTGTTGAATTTTCGAACAAAAATAATTGTCAACAATAAAACAGTCAAACTTTTAAATAGTGATAATACTAATAATAAAAAAGAAGTGCTTGGACGTTCTAAACGAAACAAAATTGATAGATCGACAAGCCAACTTTATAATAGTGCATAGTATAAAATTAAAATTTAAAACTTAATTTCATGTAATCTCCACGTAATTTTTGTTCCACACAAAACCAGCGGACCCAGATACAAGGAAAGCCAATCCCAGGGAGATTTAATTCACGCGCATCAAACAACATCATGTTTCTCTTTATTTATATTATATAATTCGGTTCTACGTTTTACAATTTAAACTTTATTCAAAGGAAAATATGATTTTTAACGCCAATAAATTTTATTTATTTATTTATATAAAATAAATGATATCCAATTTAATGTTGATCACGAAGTCATAAAGTACTAACATAGTACCAAATACAAAACTTCGTAAGCAATACTACGTAGTAAACTTTCAATTCTCTTACTTTTACTGTCTAGTTTCTTTCTTTTTTCAACATTTAATAAATAAGTTACAAGATATAAATACTTATTTCATAAAAGTAATATATTCAACCAAATAAACATCTAACAGATTTAAGACCACAGAGCAAAGAAATAAACTAGAAAAAAATAAACTATAAGTAGTAAAATGGAACAAAAGAAGAATGAAATAAAAACAAGTATGAATAAGAAGTTGCATATTTTATTCAGTGGGCGGCAGAAGAGGCTCTCGCCGAGATGAATTGTCACTCTACAAATTGTTTTGTAGATACGATGTTTGAATCTGACAATAATGGCTGGCTTGGAGCTTTTCTTAAGAAAATATTCCTTTCTCGAGAGTCACTACTTTTATTGCAAAATGTTTTTAATTTAACAGGTTTGAAAAATGCTTTATGAAGAGGAAAATTACTGTAAAGTGAAATTTACTTTGAATCTACTACGTTGACGTCGCTTTTATTGAGTCCCAGTATTCAAAGCAAGTTTTTTAGTATGATAGCAGATATTCACTATGGAGGACTAATTTCTTAAAATATTTATTTAATTAAGTCCTGTATAAAGAAATTTAATTGAAGATTTTATATCAGCTCTTAACTTGATAACCCAATATCTCGAAAAGTACGAAATAATCGTTTAAATGACTAATATTCATATTTTTTAAACGGACCCACAATATAACCTATAAGATTAGCGTATGCGAACATCATAATTGGACCCACATAAATTCGGAGAGTTGCTTCTATTAAATTTTACGACAAACACGAACCCTCATATAACTTTGTTATTACGGGTACAATATATTGCAACCAGATGCCAGAAACTTCGTATTTCGGTTAAAGATTATCTAATATAATCAAACTAGTTAAACTAATAAAACCTTAATAATTTTTTTCACTTTAAGACATCATAAGTATCGGCAAGTCTGCAAGGGTTCCGTATGTTTTCATATATATTTATGATGTATACTTCATTCATACGATTCCACTCTTGTAATCGAGCACTTCATATTGGGAATCCACAAGAGCGTTTCATTCGAGTTCGTATTTCATACAGCTATCGACGTTCCGTTACCTTGCACATGCCAATCCCATGTCTATGCCCGGTCCTTCTTGACAAGTGACAGCTACATCTTACCAAAGGGAAATCCCCTCGTTCGACGGCGGCTTATGTCGACTGATAATTGGATATGAGAATACGTTTAATAGCCAGTTCAAAAAGGTTTCCATTGAATGGATTGAATAATGTCGTATCATATTCTCTTTCAACTACTTTATATTGTTAACTTTTCACTATAAAAATAGGATTGAAGCATAAATTAACCTTTGATATAGAGAAATAATACAAAAGATAATTTTTATGTAAAATATTTTACATATCCGCAGCAACTTGGAAACAAATTTCAAAATCTCCGAAAATAACTCTCTCCCCAGTGAATCTGAGTGTAACGGTGGAAAAATAAAAACAATTGCTGCTTTATAAAGCAGTGTGGACATTCAGGGCGCTTTTGTTGTTTGTTTTATTACCTGTGGTTTTAAGCTACCAAAAACTAAGGAGAACAATTCACTTTAAATAGCGGGCTAGTCACAGCCACTAGCGGGAACATTCTCTTTAAATAAAATAGAATTTACCAAACCGAATCCTTCGAATAGGTCATTGCATATAAAGTAAGAGTTTATACGAATAACGAAATACATTTGAATTATTTTTAATGAGAGTAGGGAATATAGATCGCATAATAACAATATTATCCGAGTCAACACCCAAGACGCGGTAAGGATGGTCAACATTAATTACAAAGCGGACACAACACCGGGGTCGGCTTATCAATTCGTGAAGGTTTATTCAATTAACACTAAATAAATAGACAGACGCTATCATCTTACTAAGTCCTCCGTGTCAAGTTGATATTACTTCATTTGCAACTTTATGGGTGAACATTTTGCAGATGCTGCGTCTCTTTATATACTTTTTATGGTAAACGCGTCATAAGGCATTCTTGTCGAGACAGCTGGGTGACTTTATTTCGTCTAGTCCGTTTATTGTTTTTGTTTTTCCACCCAATTCTTTTCTTTTGGTAGGTGACCTACAAATAATACAGTTTGCTTTAACCATAATAAGTTACTCTAGTATGTCCATTTCACTTAGTGTTCACCCAAATTTTATTATTTAAGCTCTAACATGATGTTATATAACTATTAAGTTTCGAAATTCATTTTATATTTTTGATTAATACATGTAGCATTTATTAAAACAATTACATTTATTTATTCGTAGCATGAGTTATTTAAATATATTTGCTAGTATTTATTCAAGTAGAATTATATTCAGACTCTTTTCAATTGCTCTCAAACCGGATCGAAAAGCAGGTTGCCTGCATATTTTCCCAATACATTTACTCGATAAAGCCCTCTACGTAATATACTTGTCATTCTTAATGTTCTAGCTTGTACTGACTGCGACTTGTGACTCGAAAACTCAAGAGTTATGGCTAAATCATATAATATAGATACAAATTTTATTATATACTTTGTTGAAGTACGATTAATGAGTTAATTAAAATATACAAATTTATTTGTCAATTTAAAACTATCAAATCTTCTTATCAATCTGTAATACTAATAATTTCATGCAGCGTTGCTTGAATGTATTAAGTTTTCGATGTGTATCAGGTCATATTATTCTAAAAAATATTGGGAAAATCTGTTTTTTTTATTATAAACAATCTCCTACCTTACGTCAATTAAACAATATCAAATATACATAAAAATAATTAAAGTTATTAAATTTCAATTACCTTTATTTACGATTTTTTTTGCGTTTTTTTTTCATATAATATAAAAAATTATGGAGCTATTTCATTATTATTTTATTAGTAAATTGTTTTGTATAGATGATATTAATAAACAAGTTCAACAACATTAATATACGTCTCAAATATCGCTCACATTATAAAACAATATTATCAAAGATCATACAGACGGGGCTATTCCAGCGTTACATAATTATAAAATGCCCGGCGGGGCTAAGAAAATTGCTGAATACTATAAATAATTTATAGGAATTTTGAGAAGATCAAGTTTTGAGAGCCTTTTGGAATTTCACTGAGAATTCTGCCATGACAAGAGCATTTAATGTTTTTTTTTTTTAAGAATCTTAAGATCTTGTATTTTAATTATTTAAATGATTATTCAAAACGTATCATCTGGTGTGATAAGGAATAAAATATTTAGTTTGTTTAGTCCGATATTCTCTTAAATAAATTAATAATTCAATTTATGTTATCATAATTTTAATGTTTGTTAATTATTGTATACGCGAAATTAATTTTCACAATGACCTATATAATATTCCTATTATTTACGTAAACTAATGAACTAAACACAAATAAAAGTCACGTTACGAGCGACGGACAAAAATGTTGACAGTGAGTTATTATGCAATTAATGTACCAACTTCTGTAACTTACCACATTCATTGATCCTAGAATCAGGTCGATTTATTTCTTCGCTTAGGGTTCATACATCTTACCTGCTTTACAAATGTTCACTCCCAACCCTAACCCAAGCAGCGACCCTGATTCTTAAGTTTTTGATAAAAACTTCATATACCCACCTATTTCTATCAAAAATATAACAAGTAACAGTTTTCTAACAAAACATTAAAACATTTTTTTTTTTCAACAGCTGATCATCTTATTTCGTATGTGCCAGTGTATATATTTTTAATTATTATAATTTCTTAAATATTTGATATTTCAAAAAATAGATTTTTTTTAGAATTCCAATAATTACTGTATCTCGTTAAGATTAACACCGAATCAGTATATTTAACCCATTTAGACCTACCGTCTCACATACGATACACCAAAAGTAATAAATTATTTTGAAGTTCCGTCGATAAGAATTTGATTTTATTTGGAACCAATGTGAAGTGCAAGGTCTGTGCAACATTCCTAGAAGAGTTTATTTGTTATAGTCGAATACACAAGTTAACTACATACATGGTTTGTTAGTGATTTGTGCATTGTGATCATATGATGGTATCAAAACGGTAAGAAATGCTATATTTTTTCAAATTATCTCATATTTATAACAATTTATAATTAGAATACAAGTTAAAGCGTAAATTGAGTGATTTAGTTTTATTATTTCTTGGAAATTTTTGCATGATTTTTACTCGTAAACTATAGTGTATCGTATTTGATACAGTAGGCTAATACGCACAATATATTTCTCATTTCAGACTTACATTGAATGAAATTGTCATTCTGTTAGAAGATGAAATCGAAAATAGTTTCACAGAAAATGATATTTATTTACTACCACCTGAAAATGCAAACGGGTTGTTGACTGATGAAGATTTTGGAGACGAAGATAACGTCGAAATCAACAACCTACCATCGAGCTTGTTGAGACCGAATGCTGAGTTGCATGGATCAAATTCAGAAGTTTCTAAAAGTCAACAATCAGGTCTTGGAGTTGAAGTAGATCAAGAGCCAGATTTCTGCGAACCACTACGCTAAACATCCAAAAAGTACAATTGGAGAAAAAAAAAATCTTCACCGAAGCAAAACCGACATGGAAACCTATGTTCCATGTTCCTAATCAAAGGTGGCCTATCTAATGGTTTTCTTTATTTTTTTCAGAAGATCTTTATCTATTACTCACTACTGAGACTAATAAATACTTAGGAAGGAAAAATCTTCCCGTTGATATGAAAATGGAAGAAATGAATTGTGCTATAGGCATTTTGTTAGTAAGCGGCTACTGTCAAGTAAATAGAAGACGTATGTACTGGGAAAACACACCTGATACCAAAAATGATCTGATTGTTGATGTGTTGATCTTTTAGACAAATCATATCATCTCTTCGGACAAGTATTCGCGGTAAGAACTGGTATATGCCACTCATTCTGCATTGTATAGACATGTCACTTCAGAACGCCTGGCTACTATACAAATATAATGGTGGTAATGTCGATATGCTGACTTTCAGGCGTCGCGTAGCTATCGCACTTATAGAATCAAATACCCTTGGAAGTAAACCAGGCCCTAACAGACAATTCTCACTAACCATGGATACGAGGTTTGATGAAAAGGGTCATTACGTCATCAAACAACCACAGAATAAACGAACAAGATGTGGCTTGTGTCATCGATCATGTCCTGCAAGAAGTGTAAAGTGTAATATTGGACTTCATATTGATAGTTTTCTTACCTATCGTACCAAAAAATAATAGTGTATATTTTTTGTCAATAAATACTTTTTGCCTTAGATACTGGAATTTATGCTTTTATATAAGCCTACTGTATCACATAGGATACGGCCCATCTCAGACCCCCTATGGAATCGATTTTTTTTAAAATATTTTTTTCATTAATAACAATGTTCAATGATACGATAAAAATAGAAAAAGTACATATTTTTCGACAAAAATAGTTTCCGGTCTAAATGGGTTAATATCTTATTACATTTATTTTTATTGTATGAATATTAAAAAAAATAGATATCTTGATTTATAAAATTTATTCTACATTACAGCTTATAGAAAAAAATAACACTTCCTTCAATTGCAACATAACTTTTAGTCTTTTGTAAAAAATATATTAAACTTTTAAAAACATTTACATAATAGATTTTTTGGGCAATTTGTTCAGACGGTGAGCATGCAGGTCTCACGGAACTCCTTGGTGCATCGTCTCCAGATCTGGCTTTCTCTTCTGACGCATCAGATAGTCTGCCGCTACCAGAACACGATAATGGTAAAGTAGGATGAATTTGACATTTACAAAAGGCGCCATTATGACTGACGCCTGTCAAATATGACATAACCTTTAATAAATTAAATTTAAAACTAATAAACTTTCTTTTTTACTAAACACTCGAATGATTGTGATATTCACATGATTATATTAACTAACATTAATTATTATAGAATATTATTAATTTTAAATGGCGTGACAAAGGCTTTTTAGTGAAATCTATTATAATCTGTGGCAATCGACAATCTATCGCTGAGCCAATTTGGCCATTTTGGCTCTGGATGATCTATTACTAAGCGCAGTCAATTTTAACCGGCATGAATATTCATTATTTAATACGTACATGCAATTTACAATATAGATATAATTTAACAATAGATAAATTTAATTTAATTTTATTGTAATATGTTCAAATTAATTATTATTAGCTTGATAAAGTTAACGTTATAATAGTAAAGTTCTTTGATATACAACACTAAAGTGTGGGTTATTTTATTCACAATATTCAAAGATGTTTTGATATATGTATCTATATGTGGCCTGTCACCGCTGTGAAAATTTTCCCGCAATATCAATGAAAAACAAGTGTCCAAACATAATATTTATATTAATATATTGAAAATACTTTTTGAACATCCTGTCTATGTATTAACATAAATGAAATGAAATGTCACATTCATAGGACTTTATGTATTTGACATTTTATTTCATATATGTACGAAGCCTCGAGCAAGAAGGTTTTATATGTATGTTTATATGTTTTATATAATAAAAACGCCTGGGTACATTTAGAAATTAAAAAATAAATGAAATTGATTCAAGAGCATTTTTGTCGAATGCCAAACATTGTCGCTATCTTTTTTAACCTAAGCGTTAAATGCATGATCTTTTTACTCACATACACAAATGTATAAACTTAACAAGATTCACCTCAACTTGTTTACATTACAACTGTTCAATTGGGTAAAAAAAGAAAAAAACAAAACGTAAGAGGGTCTTTGTTATATTATGTGACAAATGATATGACGGCTGAGTTGGAGCGACATTTTACGAGGGTACATTTTTGATCCTACCTGCGCTTGACTAAATTTTAGTGACCAGTATTATAATCGGTAATGCCACTATGACAAAACATTTTTACAATTTTATGTACAGAAAACTATAAAGAGACAAACATAACTGAATAAAACACGACCATTCTTTATAAAAAGACAAAATTTTCTATCTGTCATACTAAAACACAGATAAAAAATATTACACAGATAAATAAATAACAAAATCGATATGAGAACTCCTTTTCGAATATCTCACTACATTAAAGGTTCGGTTTATTGTGTTGTTGCCATTGTTGTAGTTACACCAGACGACCTTCACGATCTCATACATCAAATACATATCCATCTCTACAGATCCCGATAACAATATATATGTAGATAGATTCGCATAATGTGAAACTTCGGTCATAGACTAAAAACTTTACTGCCGAACGCGACAAACTCTTGGATCATTGCGCGAAACTCATCAATCTCAAACTTGGATAAGGGCTTAGTGGAAGGAAAACTTAAATCCAACACGGAACATCCGACAAATCTTTCAATTAATCAAAAGAACTATAATTGTAAACGATACATCACAATATCTTTGGGACGTAGCTATAGAGTATCAAGTAATAATAATCGTCTTACAAATATATATTTTTATTATTTACTATATACGAGTCATGTGTAAATGTTTATATTTAGTTTTCCTAATCGTGTAAATAGGAGCGTATTATGTATTAAAGGGCTGAAGGGATAAGAATGAAATTTTCCTTCACAAAAGATATAAGTCGTTATTTTCCAGTACCATCATGTAAAGCCTTTGGAATGAATTATAAAAGTAGGTTAAAATTATTTGTTCGTCTTTTGTTATTTTTATTTTTAATATGATATATGTATATAATATTTTATATTAAAGGATAGGTAATGAAAGGTTTATATATATGAACGAATGAAAAGTTGTATATAAATCACCAGGACTGCCTTAGATGATGGGAATTTTAATAGGTAGTTATTATAAACCTTTTTTTAATTATAATTCTCTCGATATTCAAAAAAAAAAGATCAGGTTCGGTCACTGTAAACGAGATCAACACGACGGCATATAATTAATGAGCAAGTATAAAATTACAATATTGTACTATGGAGTTTATTTGTCAAATACATGATATAACTTTCTCTATATTAAAATCTAAAAATGAAAATTTCAGCCATTTCACGTGAAATTCAAACAAAAAATGTCTATATAACTTTTTTAACTTCATTGCATATGAAGTCCGCCATGTAATTTCTGAGGGTAAAAACTAATCAACGTAGATAAAAATATTTCTGCATTTCATTTCAGAGTACACAGCATACAAAAACATAATTTATTTTTCTGTGTAGTTCTTTTTTTCCGAACAGCAAAGCGTCATACGTATACGGACGTTGCAAGAATTCCTTTGCGTTATTAATATCCTAAGCAAATAAACCGTGGAGCATACCAGTACATGTATCAAAGCATTGGTCTCTTTCACGAGCGTACGTTGAGTGTACTTAATAATATTTCGTTGTATCTCCCGGGCCTTTGGCTTACTTTGCATTCACTGATACACTCTGCTGTGTAATAGCATGTCTACAAACATTATGTTTATCCAGTAATCCAAATAGGGATTCCTGTTCAAATTATTTAAATTAACCAGCGTAAACTATATTACCTACCACAAAATTATGGTTGTTGATAGAAATCAAAGTATATTATGTTATCTTTTTGAATGAAACAATAATTATTTTTCAAACAATAGGTATACATTTTTACTTTATTATGTCACTGACGGAAATGTTTACGTAAGTGTTCGCTGATTCGCTCAAATTGAGTGGAATATCGCTGGATTTATCCTCTTCAGTATGAGGATCTCAGGAGTGAGGCATTAAATAGCCTGTCAAGAGTAACGCTCGGTTCGCCTCATAGTTGAGAATTTGCGTTGTCGTCACACGCTCTTTATCCTCGCCCGCGGGGACGCTTTGAAAAATGACGATTTGACAACCCCGACGCAAAAACACTACCACACTTAACGTTCTCTTGTGTGAAAAGGGTTTACTTTTAGTGTTACAAATTTTAGGGCTGATTTTTGTGGATGTTTCATACCAAATAGGTTAACCTAATGATGATAAATACAAAATGTTAGAATTTATTTTAACCCATTCTTATTGTTATTTAGAATTTAAACAATAGCTTTACAAATAAAATAGTATTAAAGTATTATAATTATTACATTAAAACGATTATAATGTATGGTCATAAAAATATCATATGTACAATCTAAGTATATTGTTTGTAATCGTGCAGAACAGAGGAATAGCAACGTAGGAAAGGATTACAATCTAAATCCCCTGCATATATCTTTAGATAGATAGTATAAATAATACGCGTACATTTGTTATAGTTTAAATCAAAACTATGATATGATGTAAAGGCAGCCTTTAGGTTACACAAAATTCAGAGCAATGTCCTCAAATAAGTCTTATAAGAATAGTAAGAGTGACTTAGTCCAGAAATCTTTATCCCCAAAAATTTGGTTGTATTTAATATGATTTTTGTATTTAATTACCTACGTGAAAATCAATCTTTATATCCAAACAAAATATATTTGAGAAATTGCTCACTACATTTCGGCAGCGTTATTATACGTGTTTTAGGAAGTTTTGAGACCATGTTTGGTTATCCGTCATTATATTTTTAATGTGACCAAATATAAAATATTTCTTAATTACTTACATCTTTATCACGAAGAATCTTTAATTTAAATCAAAGGATTGTATAAAGAAATTATATGTAATATGATTGTTCAAACTCAACATACAACACACTAATTCATCACTATGTCATTTAATAATGTGATTACATATATGTAAGTTCTAATCTCCAACGATTATATGTACAATATATAATGTCAGATATATCTGGTATGTTTTTTTCAGATATAATGATATTGTATGTTTGAGGTTGCTGAGAATCGAAAATAGATTTTCGTAGAAACAGCCATCTCGCCCAGAGGGATTCGATTGTATTGCCAAATAATATACTATGTACTTATTATTGACATGTAACATTTTCTTTATCTTGTGTACTTCAAGGATAGTGTTGGGATAATACAAAAAACATTTCTTTTCTATAACTATAATAACATTTGCGAAGTTTTTGATATATTTTTTTACTCTAAAGGGGTCACAGTCAAGTAACGTCACACGTCCCATTCTAAATTTACAAACTCGATATTAAATATGCACGAGTTAAGAATTTCAAGAACAGATTCAGAACAACTTTTGTAATGTTCACAAACTGTGAACGTGTGCTGTTAAATTTAATTTTTATTTTTTACTCTCCACATGTAATTGAGTTTTATATAAAACAAAAACGAACTTACTTTGAATTGCTCTTTATAATTTCTACAGCAAAGCTATAAAACTTTAAGTGTTAGAATTGTATGATCTCATTCATAATAAACTGTTTTATAATAAACCTTGATGTACATTTTATTTTATACAGTACACATAATTTTTAAGCAGTAACTCAAAATATCCCTTACAAAAAAACATTAGAAATCATAAAATCTATCAATTGAAACATGTAATAACTTAAAGACGTTAATATGTAATGATTATAAAAAAATATTAACAATATTAATAGTTATGAGATCTTAGAATTTCGCGAGTATTCGTTTAAATGAAACGAATATTATTTGGATTACTACGCGTATTATTATTTCAAAACTACATACGTAAAAATACGCGTAGTATTTCGAATAATATTAGTTTCATTTAAATATTAATAATGTTCAAGTCACTATATTATTGTATCGCCGATACACTCTAATTTATCAAGATATTAAACTTACTAAGTAATTAAGTAAATTAACACAACTCCCGACATTGAAACAGCATCAAAGCAAATCAATATTAATTAATAAGTGTATTTGGAAG